CGGTAGACACTAATTCTTCACAACAGAACTCGCCAAACCAACAACTGGAAATGGCACGCACGCTCGGCGCCAAGGCTATTCCGGCCAGCACTCGTGTTGCGGTGGTGGCCTTCCTTGCTACACGATGCAAAGAGGGCCACCTTCGTTACTGCACGGTGTCGCTAGCAGTGAAGGTCTTCCGCATAAGACGGGCAGCCATCAAGCAGATCTGGGCCCTCCGAAATGACCCATCATTCCTCGTACTTCCGCGCAAGGCGTATCCGCGACGGCCTACTCGTCTGAATGCATTATTGTCAATGAGGGAGGCAACCATTTTAAGTTCCCTCGAGTGCGTAAGGTTCTGCACAATAAGTGTGTTTTACCAGCTTCTCTTTCGACGACAAGTTCGATTGTAGACAGTGGCTACAAAGCGCTCACATCACAGATTCTAAATCAATAAATGATCCGGTTTTTGAGTATCACAAATCGTAGTATTTACTTACTAATTATTCGATTAAATTCGTCCTGAAATATGATTGGCAGGAATTTTCGAATCATATGCCATCAATTATGTTAACGGACAAAAAAAACTCACTTCTTTGAGGGCCTAATTAGGGATCTTGCGCGCGATTGTGAGCGGTTTGGCTTGCGATATGTATTGAGATACCCCCAAAAAAAAAGAGCATCTGGTTAAAGTTCGATCTAATATCGCTATTTTGGAGTGGAATTACGAAAAAAAAAAACTTATCGAGCTGCAATTTGGCGTCATTCTTGCGCTGTTATTTTCATCCTACTTGCTGTTAAAACAACACAAAAAAAGTGAGGAGAACCGTTATTCCGAAATCTTTCGAACAAGGGTGTCAGTGCATCAAAATTCTACCTACAGATATAATTAGGCGGAAATTTGTCAAATAGCCATAAATTCGTGGGACAGAGAAGTAATATAGACCTTGTTCAGCTGTCTCAAAACAGTGAATATGTACAGCGAGATGATATCCGATTAGACAGGGAACATATGTGATTAAAGCCTTGTGCA